AGATTAGATAGAGGGAAGTGATGGGAGGGAAGTGGAGGGGATGTAGAGATAGGAAAGACAGTAGAATGAAACAGACATTATCACTGTATGTATATATGTAACTACATGACCAATATGGTTCTGCAACATGTACACTCAGAAAAATGAGAAATTATATCCCATCTATGTAGGACATATCATAGTGCATAAATGCAGTCTACTGTCATGTATAATTAATTAAAACAAATAAAAAATTAAGAAAGAGAACTTGATGTTATATTTAACAGCATTTTAACTTTGTAAATTAATTAGATGTCTCTAATAAACACATTTATGATTAATACCATATATGTCAAATCTAATTCACTCATTTTCAAAACTCAAGATTTCAAACAAGTGTATTTAACAGAATTAGCTTTCTCTTCCTTGTTGAAGAAAAATCCTAGAAACAATGGATATTAGACATTTTTTAGATATCAACATATTATTAGTTGTTGGACCACCTCGCGAAACTTGTGACTTTACTTCCATTTGTTTACCTGATTTAAATTAAACTTTTTAAATCACAGAAATTAAAAGATATTTGGATGCATTTTCTTTTTAAAAAAATTTTAATTTGTGAGGGCTCATTTATCCATATACCAATTTTGATACCCAAATACATGTAGACATGACAATATACCCATGTACACACATAGACAAACAACACAGGCCATGTAGTGTTTTTTTTTGGGGGGGGTGCATTATATTTACTTTTTGGTTGTAGTTGGACACAATACCTTTATTTTGTTTATTTATTTTTATGTGGTGCTAAGGATCAAACCCTGGGCCTTGTATGTGCTAGGCAAATGCTCTACTGCTGAGCCACAACCCCATTCCCGGCTATGTAGTTTTTAAAACCTATTAGATTAGGAGCTAACCCTTCCCAATTTCCTCTGATCAAAGCAGTGTGTAAAAACAAAACAAACAAACAAAAAAACTGTATAGTTGAACAAAAATAGGACTGATTAGGAAAACATATTAACCTAGCTATGCAGGAACAAAATGTGAATTTCACCATAAAACCAGGAGCTCAAAAGTATAGAATTAAAAAAAGAGTCCTAGAACAAGTGACACAGTCATTAATTATCTTAGTAAAGCAGCATACAGTTTACTTATTGCCTCAGACTAACATGAGTTCAGGTAAAAGACACTTTTTATTTTTTTTCTTCCCCCTTTGTGTCTCAGACCTATCCTCAGCTGAGCCTGATCTAAAGTTATGAGACATTACTTTTTATTGGAGGAGGAAGCTACTATGTTAAGCTTCTTACTGAGCTATTCCATTTGTTGTCTATGTGGGTGGTGTGTGTGTGTGTGTGTGTGTGTGTGTGTGTGTGTGTGTGTTGTGCTGGGATTGAACCCAGTGCCTTGTGCATGTGAGGTAAGCACTTTACTAACTATCCTCAGCCCTTTTGTGACTAGTTCTAGGGTTATTTTTCGTCTGTCAGTGATAAGCAGGTTAAATTTTGTTCCATAGGTAAGTTGGGGACAGGGTCTTGAAGTAAGGCCCCTTTTTAATGTCTCAAAGGCTTCCAAAGCCTTCTCATAACTCAGATAGGGAATAAACTTTTTGGTGATTGGCTGTCCTGACACCCATCAGACAGGAAAGAGGTCTAAGTTAAGAGGTGACTACAGAGAAGCTGGCACTGGTGTCCAAGAGGAAACTGACCTCTTGGCTCCCTATAGAGAAGCATACCTGGGGCTCGTTCATGGTGATAGGAGTTACCAGAGCCATTGGAATCCACCTAGGGCTCTGCCAGCCTGTGTGGAGGGGACTGGCCTAGAAGACTTATGCCCCAGGGACATTCATTCCTCCAACAATTACCTTGACATTTAGGACAGGGCTTCAAGTGTGGCCATTTCACCTGTGGACATTCTGTTTGAAATGTCCTTCCTCTTCAAGTACATTTTGTTGCTCAGGGTGCACTCCATTTTTTTTTTTTTTCATCCAGGAAGGTCACTCCTCTTAGGTCTATGACCAGTGCTTCACCTTTCCCTGTTTCTAGGCTCTCTCCTTATTTTCCTTCTAACATCTGTTCTAAAAGTCAGAAGTTGCAAGCCAGAGGGTATCACACGAGATTTGACCAGGGCCGTATGCCACTTTTTGTAATATTATCCAAATGCCTGGGGCTGACTGAATAATAAATTTATCTTTTATTTATTTTCTTTAATAATTTATTTTTAAAAACTAGTTGGCCCTCTATAGATTCAGGATCCAGGGTGGTGTGTTTTCTTACTGCCTCCCTGAGTCTCTTCATGAAAATAGCAGGACTTTCCTGAGGCCTCAAGGATTAACATCTGGAAATGTCTAATATTCAAGGCATCCTGCTCATCACTCAGATTCCAGGCAGGATTGTTCTGGGAACTACCTGTGCTCCAGATTGATGATTAGGTTTGCTTCTCGTTTGTGCTGCTGGGCCGTGAACAAGATGTAGGTCATCCCCTATCTGTTTATCTACTTCTAGGGTGACCTTCTCAGTGGAGGTTAAAATTTGGTTAAGGAATAGCATAATATCTTTCCAGATGAGATCAAACCCCTGGCCTAAGTTCTGAAATGCCTCAATATATTTATCTGGATCTTCTGAAAACTTTCCTAGGTTGATTCTTACCTATTTTAAGTCTTGGAGGGAGAAAGGAGTATGTGCTTTAACTGGTTTGAATCTTCCCCCTGGCCTCTCTTGGAGAGCTGGTATATATGATCAGTCTTTTGGGGATAGGTGTGGAGGACAGGAGGACTTCTGATATTGGTGATGGTTATCAGCAGGAGATGGAGGCTTCAGGGGTCCCCCTGATTTCTCTCCTCAGTAGATGATTCCTTAAGTACTTGTCCTTTTTATTTTTCTTGGTCATCTATGGGTCAAACTGGTCTTAATTTCCCAGTGTGCATGTTAGTGATGAACCTGGTAAATACTGTTGAGAACAAAGCTCCCTCCCACCTGGGTCCTTGGAGACCTCTCTCCATGAGTTTCTAGCAATCCAGCACATCAACTCTCACCTCCTGGATCTGCCAATCTTCGTGGTGGCTGGATTGGCAGGTGCTAAAGTTCTCAGTTGCTCTGTACCAGAGACTCAGGAGAATTCATTTTTACGGGCATTTACTGATCTTCTCCCTTCCACTATAAATTTTACAATTATGAAGACCCACAAAAAGAAGAAGGAGAAGAAGAAAAAAACCTGAACTCTTCTCTGCTGTGTAGACTAAAGGAATGTCCAGAGGGTAATGGAATATCTAGTGGTTGTTAGGCAAAAAAAATGCCCTTTTCCTGGAAGAGTTTGTGGAAGGGGTTGATTTAAAAAATACCTCTCTCCTACAGCTGATTTGGGTTTTTTGTTTTGTTTTTGTGGCACTGGGGATTGAACCCAGTGCCTGTACATGCAAGGCAAGCCCTTTACCAACTGAGCTGTATCCAAGTCCCCCTCCTACAGCTTTAAAGAATGCATTGAGCACATCTGAGGAAAGGAACAGTAAGCAGGCTATTAAAGACTTACTATGTGAACAAAAGGAGCCAGGTGTTTCTTACTAATAGCCTCACCCTCCAGTCTGAATAGCTAGTGTCGGTCAGTGAAAAGGGGGGCACCCTGGAGGGAATGGACTCAGGGGAGTGTTGCATGGCCCCCACAGAAGCCAGTGTCATTGGTGTCTTCCCTCAGGGTCATATTTCAGCAGTCAGGTTCTGGCTTCCAGTGTGGAATGTGTATATTCCTCTGCAAGTTGGTTTTCATTCTGAACTGCAGGTGAAACTGACGTCTTACCTGAGCTGGTTCAAGAGTTTGATTTTCTTTATTTTTAATTCATTTTATTACTATGTAACTAATTTTTCATGCACTTAATTTTATTTCCTTGTTGTCTTTCTATTTGCTTGACTGAAAAATGATTTGACAAAGTCAAGTGTGAGGTGGCCTTGCCTAGTATCCCCAGGCTCTCCCTAGTGAGATGGATGCCCATCTCCTTCCTTTCCAGTCTGGCCTGACCTGGCACCCACCTTTTCTGAGGTCATGGTTGGCTCCCTTCACATCATGTGTGTAATTCCTCACTCCAAGTGTGTAATTCCTCACATATGCTTGTGACTGTGTCCAGGCTGAAGGTGCAGAAAGGGCCTCCTGAGAGCAGGAAGACAACAGGGCCTGCTTTAGAAAGCTGGGGTCAGTTCTGAACAAGTGGAAATATTCCCCTGGTGTGGCAGTCCCCTTGCAGGAAAGAAACCCTGCCTGAAAAGAGCTTTTGCCAAGAAACTTTCCTTCTGGCCTTATTTATCTAAAAATCGGATACATATTCTGTTACTCAGGGTCCCGAAATATGCATATGTGGCCTGGGGTGAGAGAGGGGTCTTCTGGAGCCCTGCCTATGTTTAACCATGACACAAGAAAAGACCACCAACTCCAATTTTAAGTCAAATTAAAGCAAGCTTGTATTGTGTACACAAAAGCTTGCCAGTGGCCTTCTCACCCAAAACCTGGGCCAGAGAACAGCCCCCCAGCTTTCAAGGAACAAGGTTTTATAGCACCAAAAATTTGCAAAGGGGGGGTGTCTTGAGAACTTATAGGTAACAGGATTTTGACAAGCATAATACAAAGGCAGATAGCAGGTTAGTGATCTACATGGCATGATATTTTAAGATAGGGAATAAATTCAGATCCCAACATCAGAATTTATGAGGTGCCACTGAGCTTTCAGAGAGGGTTGTTATCTGGTCAGGGGGAGCCAGGATTTATGAGGTGCCACTAAGGTTTTAGAGAGGGTGGTTATCTGGTCAGGGGGAGCCCAGGCATGGATGAGTTCAAGGCACCGGAAGGAGTTCCAAACAAGTTTAAAAATCTCAGCAATTTCTGGTAAAACAGCAATTAACTTTTCATGACTTTGTGATGAGATGGCTCCCAATCATAAGGTGGAATTAGGCTGGGTTCATCAACTAGTCAGCAGGCAGCTGGTGGGAGGGTGGCCTTCCACAGTCTCACAGGACTTTCTCTCTCACCCTGTGCAGCTCAGAATCCATCTCCAGGACTGTGTCTTCTCTGCTGTGTGAGACCCAAGTGGCTCTGGCTCAGATCTGTCTCCCTGTGACCTGCAGGTGCTATGAGGTCCTCAGGAAGGATGTCAGGACTCCCCAGAAGGCAGGAAATGGTGAGTGTGGGTTGAGGACTGCTCAGGGAGGTGGGCTGGTTAGAACTGGTGGGAATCAGCTGTGGCTGGACTCTGGCCTCCCACTGTCAGCTCCAGAGTCAGCCAGCCCAGACCTGAGTCAGATGCTGCTACAGCTCAGCCCTTGATGCCTTCAGGACATGGTGTGGGCTGGTGCAGGTGGGTTCCCAATGTGCTGCCTGGTCTGCAGCTACTTTGGCAGAACCCTCTCTGCCCAGCTGGACCCAGCCCTAGTCTCTCAGTGTGCAATGAAGGCAGACCCTTTTCATGGGATACTTACTCAGGGATGGGGTTCCTGTGTTCAAGGTTATTGGTCTAGGGGTCACTGTTCCTCCGACCCCAGGAGTCACTCACTTTCCCACTCCATGTTCCACGTGTTTCTGAAACACAGTCTCAATTCACTTTGCTCTCCCAGGCTAGCCCCTCTTAGGGCTGGCAGTAGACCCCTAAGCTTGCACCTCTCTCTCACATTTCCAGACTCCAACTCCTCTTCCAGTTCACACCATTTTCAACTCTTCCACTCACGACATTCAAGTGGGCACAGTATTATCAATTTTTCACTCAGTAATGCAGGATACTTTTTTAAATATTTGTGTCCTGTTTGTGAATATCTACCATGAGGGGAAAGTAGAGAGCGGCCACCTGGAGCTCCACTGTCCTTTGTCTTCTCCCAGCACAGATGCCTTAATGTCTTTGAGCAAAGCTTCCCTTTAGACACTTCACAGGGTAGCATATCCTGAGCCACTGTCCTGGCCTTTCCTGGGCTGCCACAGGTGCCCACCGCTGCCCTGTGCCCTGTAGGTACAGGAAATTTCAGGCCCTGGGTCAGCTCCTCCTAGAGGACAGCCTGAGGTGTGGGGCACACCTTGTCAGGGGAGCAGCTGGAAGCCCTGGGGATGAGGAATTTCCTGTAACATGTCACATCTAAACAACTGCCTCATTGGGCTATTGTGTCCCCCAAGCCCTGTTCCCATTCCTTGGAGACAGGTGGACAGTGAGCCTGTGGATGCTGGTGCTGAGGGGCCAGGTCAGCAGTGATTCCTGCCCTTGCAGTCTCTCACAGTTGTGAAGGAGGAAAACTCTCCCAGAGCATAAGGACCACCCACCCCAGTGCAGTGCTGTGCAAACCTGAAAGCCTCATAGACTGGAGTCATAGTCCAGATCTCCTGGGAGGGTGATCATGGAGTGTTTCAGTGAGCAGGACCAGGTGGGAGATGTCCAGCTGGTAGGCCGATTATCAGTCCCTTGAACATGACACATCTGTGTTCCCTCAGCCCCAGCCCTATCTGTGTTCCTCACTTTGAATTGATATGCTTTATACGTAAATGTAACATTGGAATTCACTGTGATATATTTATACAGCGCATAGCATAATTTGTTCCATTTCATTCAACAGTTCTCTAAACATTAAAAAGAGCTAGGGATGTAACTGAGTGTTTAAGTGTCCCTGGGTTCAACACAGAGTACCCAAAAAAAAAAAAAAAGCTGACATTAGAGTTATTTAAAATAAAACATGTCAAGGTGATGAAAAGTCTTGCTGAACCTCAGTTTGGATTTCATTATATTTTGGGACATATAGACGATGTCTGTCACTCTGTGACTTTGTGTCCTTCCAGAGATGCTGGGACATAAGGCACTCCACTAATTGCTGTGAACATCCACTGGGCAGTTCTGGTGGGCCATCCCCCGGGCTGGTGGTTGACTGCCCAGGGGTGCAGCACTTTGTTAGGTTCCATCATATTTACTGTGGGTCAGTAAGTACCTGCTCTACTCAGCAGAATGCTTTTCAATGTGGCAGGGAGCTTGGTGGCTGTGTCTGAGGACAGATCCTGTGGCTGTGGATTCTCTGCAGGCCCATCTGTGGTGCAGAAATGTCCCCCCACCCTGGCCAACATGACTCACCGGGGTCCTTAGTCCTGAATACAAAGACTTCACTAGTCCTCTGGTTTTTTTAACTTCCGGTGTCCCAGGTCATCAACAGCAGGTGCCCATTTCTTTTGCTGAGTGACTGATGCAGCATCCAACTGGTGTCCAAACAGTGCCCAGCATTCCCCAGGTCTGGCCCCAACACCACATGATGGGAGCTGTTGCTCTCCGCTTGCTGCCTTAGAGCAAACAAATTTCTGCCTTGACCCACCTCCTGCTGCCTCCAGTGACCTTCCCGTTCAGCTTCCAGGGGACTTGGGCAACTTCTCATCCCAGCCTTCTGCAGGGAGCTGCCACATCTGGGGCCATCTCTCTGTGTCAATGTGTGTCCAAGCAGCTTTCCTCCAGCGTGGGCCCCAGGCAGACTGTGGTAATCCTTCTAGGCTTCGTAGAACTCGGGCAGCTTCCTGCCATTGCTCCCCCAGTGTGTGGTCAGTGGCAGCAGGATCCTGATGGCTTCCCTTTCCTGTGCTCAGAGGCCGACACTGCCTCACTCCTTGGATGTGAGCTTGAGGTCCTGCTGCCACAGGGCGAGGGTGTTGTGTCTCAACCCAGGTTCCTTGGTGGTCTTTAAAATGGTAATACTTTGAGCTCATGACACAGGTATGTTTTTATTTATTTGTATCTTATTTCATTTCTTTTAGGAACATTTTGTAGTTTTCAGTATATAAGCCCCCTTCTTGGGACATTGTTTTAATTGTTGGTATTATTTCCAGAATGCCTTTCTCAGGTTGCTCATACACTTATGGAACTGATTATCTGTGAAGGGAGATAGTTTTACTCTTCCTTTCCAATTTGGGTGCATCTCTTTTTCACTGTTTCTCCTTACATAATTTTCCTGGCTACTGTTTCCATTGCTGCATCAAAAGGACCTGGTGAATGGAGCAGGTCTCATATTCCAGTCCTTCTAGGGCCATTTTTCATGAGCACTTCTCAGCCTTTCCTCCTCTCTGATTAGACAGGAAGACTGGGGGCAGATGGAGGTTGGTGTTTCTCTTTTCCCCAGAAGGTTTGACTTATAACATCTCAGGTGATTTAGTCTTTGGAAATAATTTCTTCTAAATGTAGTGCCAGGAAGGTTGGAGTTCTCTGGGCATACTGAAAAATGCCATCTTTCTTCTTCCTGTGCTTTAAGCAGTGAGCCTGTGTGTGTGTGTGTGTGTGTGTGTGTGTGAGAGAGAGAGAGAGAGAGAGAGAGAGAGGGAGAGAGAGAGCGAGAGCGAGATCTTCACTGTGATACTGGCAGTGTTTCTAAAGGGAAAAATATTATAAATTTGTAGGAATAGTCAGAAAAATCACCATTCTGCAGTTCATGGTAAATTTCAGGTAAGAGGCAAAACTGCTGCAGGGGCAGCTGCCCCATCTCCCATGCTTGTTCCCTGACTAGGAGTTCTAAGGTATGAGTGGAACAAAATAACTGGGTTTCTGAAGGAAGGCATACATTCAGTAAAGATCGTGTTTTTTACCTATAGTCTCAGCATTATGACTCAATGTTACTGCATAGTTTGGCGGGATCCTCCCATGTCCTTAGTTCCCCCTACCAGCAAAGTTCCAACTTGTCAGCTGATACTTCTAAGTGTACATACTGTTAGGAGGACTAATATTAGCTCTCTTTTCTTTTTCTTTTTTCTTTCTTTTTTGGTAGTGGGGATTGAACTCAACCACTGAGCCACATCCCCAGCCCAATTTCATATTTTATTTAGAGACAGGGTCTCACTGAGTTGCTTAAGTGCCTTGCTTTTTTGGCTCTGAACTCACGATCCTCCTGCCTCAGGCTCCCAAGCCACTAGGATTACAGGTGTGCGCCACTGCACCCAGCAATTTAACTCTCTTTTGCACATAAGGTAGTAGGGCTTCATTATTCCATAAATTAAATATGCACTCACAAAGGTGTTGGGGTGACCCAGGAGCATACCTTATTCCCTGGACTCCACAAGGAGAAGGGTGTTTTGCTCTGCTCATGCTTTTTTGGATAGTTCCGGTCTTGTATTAATATGCCTCTGTTTGGGCAAGTGAGTGCACAATGAGAGTACAAGTTTTGAAGACAAAATCATGGAATGAATATTTGGAGATCACAGAAATGTGCAAATGTGTCTTATGATGAGAATAGAGCCCTCATGCTGTCAATCTCTCCTGGCATGCACTACTCTTTTCTGGAATATTTTAGAATTCAGTGGCCTTTGAGGATGTGGCTGTAAACTTCACCCAGGAGGAGTGGGCTTTGCTGGATCTCTCCCAGAAGAATCTCCACAGAGACGTGATGCAAGAAGTCCTTAGAAACCTGGCTTCTATAGGTAAAGATGATGTTTCATTATATAGTCAATCACTGAGAAACTGGGAGGTTGTTTTTTTGTTTGTTTGTTTGTTTTTGTTTTTATCAAGGATTGAATCTGGGAGTGTTCAACCACTGACACACATCTACAGCCCTTTTTTATACTTTATTTAGAGACAAGGCCTCCATAAGTTGCTAAGGCTGGCATTGAACCTGAGCTCCTCCTTCCTCAGCCTCCCAATCTGCTGGGATTATATGTGTGGGACACTGGGCCTGCCAAATGAGAGTTTTTTTTTTCCTCAGGGATTTGGAATGTGAAAAGGGAGTACTTTGGGGAATAAAATGGGCCTAATATCATTTCACTCTGAGCATGAATCCCATAATTTTTCTCTTTTTTCTTCATTTTTATTTTTGCATTAGAGCACTCCATATTATAAATCCCATAATTTATTTTAAAATCATAATGATTCATGATTGTTCTCTGTCTACATTTTAGGAGACAAGTGGAAAAATCAGAACAGAAATACTGAAAGAGATCTAAGGTAATTTGTATTCACTAGAAGAAACACAGTATCTTGATGGAATTGTAACATGTCCTATAATTTTACAAACAAGCAGAGGAAACAACCATGATATGAATTATAGTTATTCCTATTTAACCAGAACTTTAATGTAAGTTATATGTTTCATATTTTCAAAAATTATTGATTTGTTGACAATGCTAACAAACTAACTGCTCTTATGATACCACCATTTTAGTACTATCTATGAGAAGCAGTGTTGCAAAGTCATCATTATATTTATTTTCAAACAGTTTAAACATGACAGAAAATCAATATTTTCCCTGACATTGGTAATAGTGTACGTGCCATACTGACTAATGAATATATAAAAGTGTTAATAAGCCAACCATAAATATCCATGTAATTTTTTTTTTAAACAGAAGTCATACGGTAGATTCTGGAAAAATTTGAATAGGTACTCAGTGTGAGATTCCAAATCTTAGTCTTCACCAGGACTTTCCCATTAGAGTAAGTCCATGTGAGTAGTATATATTGACAAGTCTTTATATATCTTTTTTTCCTTAATAGGCACATTATATCTCACTCTGCAAACAAATTGTATGAGAATGAGTTGAGTGCAGGGAAGCCATATGAACTTAAACAGAAGAAAACATCTTTAATTTCTCACACAAGTGTTCAAAGACAAGCATCTGTGCACACTATAGTTGAAACTTATGAATGTCTAACAAGTGGAAAAGGGTTAAGTTGTTCCTTGTGTTTTCAAAAATATCAACAATCTCATACCAGAGAGACAGCTTACAGATGTAATCAATCTAGTAAAGTCTTCACTAGTTCCTCTTATCTTCCAATACGTAAACGAACACATACTGGAGAGAAGACCCATAAATGTAAACAGTGTGGGAAAGCCTTCACTTGTTCCTCTCACCTTCAAAGACATAAACAAACTCATACTGGAGAGAAGCCCTATGAATGTAAAAAATGTGGAAAAGCCTTCAGTCGTTCCTCTTACCTTCACATACATGAACGATTTCATACTGGAGAGACGCTTAATAGATGTAAACGATGTGGGAAAGTGTTTGCTACCTCCAGTCAGCTTCATTCACATGAATGGACTCATAATGGAAAGAAACCCTATCAGTGTGAACAATGTGGGAAAGCCTTCATATATTGTTCTTCCTTCCAGCGACATCAGCGAATTCATACTGGGGAGAAACCCTATGAATGTAAGGAATGTGGCAAAGCCTTTACTTATTCCTTTTATCTTCAAACACATAAACAAACTCATACTGGAGAGAAGCCTTATGAATGTAAACAATGTGGAAAAAGCTTCAGTTGTTCTTCTTACCTTCGTAGACATAAATTAATTCATACTGGTGAGAAGCCCTATGAATGTAAGCAATGTGGGAAAACCTTTACTTATTCCTTTCATCTTCAAACACATAAACGAATTCACACTGGAGAGAAGCCCTGTAAATGTAAACAATGTGGGAAAGCCTTCAGTTGTTCCTCTTACCTTCGAAGACATAAACAAATTCATACCGGAGAGAAGCCCTATGAATGTAAGCAGTGTGGGAAAGCCTTTACTCATTCCTCTCAACTTCAGACACATAAACGAATTCATACTGGAGAGAAGCCCTATGAATGTAAACAATGTGGGAAAGTCTTTGTTTATTCTGCTTCTCTTTGGCAACATAAACGAATTCATACTGGAGAGAAACCCTATGAATGTATGCAATGTGGAAAAGCCTTTACTAATTCCTCCCAACTTCAAACACATAAACGAACTCATACTGGAGAGAAGCCCTATGAATGTAAACAATGTGGGAAAGTCTTTGTTTCTTTAACTTCCCTTTGCCAACATGAACGAATTCATACTGGAGAGAAGCCCTATGAATGTAACCAATGTGGGAAAGCATTCAGTTGTTCCTCTTACCTTTCTAGACATAAACGAATTCATACTGGAGAGAAGCCCTATGAATGTAAGCAGTGTGGGAAAGCCTTTACTCATTCCTCTCAACTTCAAACACATAAACGAATTCATACTGGAGAGAAGCCCTATGAATGTAAACAATGTGGAAAAGCCTTTGTTTATTCCAATTCCCTTCGACAACATGAACGAATTCATACTGGAAAAAAGCCCTATGAATGTAAGCAATGTGGGAAAGCTTTTACTCAGTCCTCTCAACTTCAAAGACATAAACGAACTCATACTGGAGAGAAGCCCTTTGAATGTAAACAATGTGGGAAAGCCTTTGCTTCTTCTACATCCCTTCAGCAACATAAACGAATTCATACTGGAGAGAAGCCCTATGAATGTGAGCAATGTGGGAAAACTTTTACTTACTCCTTTCAAACACATAAACGAATTCATACTGGAGAGAAGCCCTATGAATGTAAGCAATGTGGGAAAGCCTTCAGTTGTTCCTCTTACCTTAAAGTACATAAACGATCGCATACTGGAGAGAGGCCATATGAATGTAAACAATGTGGGAAAGCCTTCAGTTGTTCCTCTTACCTTCAAAGACATAAACGAATTCATACTGGAGAAAAGCCCTATAAATGTAAACAATGTGGGAAAACCTTTGTTTCTTCAACTTCCCTTTGCCAACATGAACGAATTCATACTGGAGAGAAGCCCTATAAATGTAAGCAATGTGGAAAAGCCTTTATTTATTCCAGTTCCCTTCAAAGACATAAACAAATTCATACTGGAGAGAAGCCCTATGAATGTAAGCAGTGTGGAAAAGTGTTTGTTTCTTCAACTTCCCTTTGCCAACATGAACGAATTCATACTGGAGAGAAGCCCTTTGAATGTAAGCAGTGTGGGAAAGCCTTCAGTTGTTCCTCTTACCTTCATAGACATAAACGAACTCATACTGGAGAGAAGCCCTATGAATGTAAGCAGTGTGGGAAAGCCTTTGTTTATTCCAGTTCCCTTCAAAGACATAAACGAAGTCATACAGGAAAGAAGCCCTATGAATGTAAGCAATGTGGTAAAGCCTTCACTACATCTTCTTATCTTCAAAGACATAAACAAAGTCATGCTGTAGAGAAACTCTAGGAATGTAAATAATTGGGAAAAGCCTTCACTACTTCCTCTTATGTTTAAATACGTAAATGAATTCATACTTGAGAAAAGCTCTATGAGTGTAAACAATGTGGAAAAGTCGTTGCTGGATCCAGATAGCTTCATTCACATGAATGAACTCATAAAGGAAAGAAGCCCTATGGATGTAAATAGTGGGGGACAGCCTTCACTAGGTCTGCTCACCTTCACAGACATGAATGATTTCATAATGGGGAGAAACCTTATAAATGTAAACAATGTGGGAGAGCCTTCACTAGTTCCTTTTCCCTTCACATACATGAACAATTTCATACAGGAAAAAAGCCTTGCCGTTGTAAACAATGTGGGAAGGCCTTCACTACTTCTGTTTACCTTTACACACATGAATTAACTCATATTACAGAGAAACCTGACTAATGTAAGCAGTGTGGGAAATCCTTCACTACATCTAGTCACTTTTATTTGCTTGAAAGAACTCATGTTGGAGAGATGGCCCATGTATGTAAAAATGTGGGAAAGCCTTTACATCATGTAGTTACATTATAAAACATCAAACAACATTGCTTGAAAGAACTCATGTTGGAGAGATGGCCCACGTATGTAAAAATGTGGGAAAGCCTTTACTTCATTAGTTAGATTATAAAACATCAAACAACTCATCAGGAAAAAAATCCCTAATAAAGAGAAAAAATGTGAAATTCCTTTCATTTGGGGGTTCTGTTTTAAACCTGAAAGTAGTGGTATTGTACAAAAGCCCATGGAATGCAAAAAAACATGACAAATCATTTAATATTCCCAGTCACCTTCAATAACAGGAAAGTACATATAGAATAGTTGTTGAGTGTGCGTGTGTGTATATGTATACATCCATAATATATGTGTGTGTGTATATATAGATAGATAGATGGATATATAGTTTGTTTTGTTTTGTTTTAATGTAGAATGATGGATTGTTCCTGGAGGGGCAGAGGCATGCAGGGCAAAACTTCCGGCATAAGTAGCAAGTTGCAGGTTTAAACAGGTCATGAAACCTCAGAGGAAGTTGCAAAGCATTTATGGAACATGAATTGTGTAAGAGGGATTTTGTGAGTATCCCAGTTGACTCAGTTAAACCACCATTTCTAGATTTTTTTTCCTAAAGATTTGAGTACTGATTTTTCACACAAATCAAAACCTGATTCATTATAATACAATGCAAAGTTTAAATCTTGGACTTGTGTTGGGACAAGGCACAAGTGCAGAGAAAACTGGCAGGGAACCGTGTGACTCAACCTGGCTCCACCTGTAGCACCGCCCCTACTCCTGGCCCTCCATAAACACCCCTGACGCAGGCTGCTGTCCTCTGGAGGCAGCCCCATTCTGCCCTGAATAGTTACCAGCTTTCCTAAATGAGCGGTATGTGCCTTGGACCTGCATCTGCACCACGTGCGACCTGAACCCGTAGGTCCTGAGTTGACCTCCCCTTCTCACGGGGAACTCTTCACCCTTCATCAGAGACAGAAGAAAAACTGCCCAGGCGGAGGGGCAGTAGCCCAATGGTGGGCCCTAGGCTCCTGGGCCTGAACAGGAACTGAAAGGCTAAGGCACACAGGTAACCCTAAGGGGAGTGGTGAGGTCTTCTTTTCCTCTCAGCCCTTGGGTTTGGACCTAGGGTCTTGCACGTGGTAGGTAAGAGCACAAGCGCCCTACTCTGAGCTGCACCCAGGATTGGCATTTTCTTTTGTGCTCCACGCCAGATGCCCGCCCTTATCAAAAGTCAGAATACCTAGCCCTGCCGTTGTGTGTCCCGCGCCTGTTATCCCAGTGGCTTGGGAGGCCGAGACAGGCGGATTGTGAGTTCAAAGCCAGCCTCAGCAAGGGGAGGTGCTAAGCAATTCCGTGAGACCCTGTTTCTAAATCCAATACAAAAATGGGCTGGGTGGAGTGCCCCCACACACACACATAAAGAATACCTATTCTAAAGGTAAGGTTTCTTAGGTGGGACAAATGCTTAAAAATATATTGACCAGCAATGTCCTGCACCTGCAGCTTACTGTGGGGTGAATCCCACCAGGGCCTTCTCTGCCCTCCCTAGCCTGGGGCCAAAACCAAAGCCCAGGCTCCAGGCAGTCACTGAGGGCTGGCTGAAGGCCCCAGGCTGGGTGGGGTATGGCTCAGTGGTCCTGCAGAGGCCTGGAAGGCGTGGGCGACCCTGCAGAAGCCTGGAAGGCGTGGGGGACCGGTGAGACAGGTGCAAGCCAGACGCCAGACCCAGAGGCACGCGGGTCACACGGGTTGTCTGTCACAGTGGTGAGTCGGAACCTGCCGGTTCTGAAAGGGGAGCCTATGAGAGCTGTTGGGGCAGGGCGGGCTGAACCAGGGGTGTATTTTCCCCCAAGAGGAATCGCGCGCTCCCCCTTGTGCCTGCAGAATTGAGCAGCAGGCCTACATGGCTGTCATCCCCAGAGGGTGGCAAAGCCCACGCCATTGCCACCAGCAACCCCAGAGTGACCACAAAGCCATCTTTCCTTCCTTCCTCTTCCTCCGGGTTCCTCTTTCGAGGTGTGCTTCTCCCACCCTGCAAAGCATTAACATGTAGGTTAACTAGAGAAAAGCAACAGAAAGCAGAGGTAGGGATCCTTGTTTAGAAATAGAAACTTAGGTAAAGAAGTAAGAACCGTCTGCCTCGAAACACATTCCCCCCACCAGAAGAACTTCCTGCTGTAGAGAAAAGGGGTGGGGGGCAGCAAAGGCTCTTCTTGATATCAGGCTCCTCCCATCAGTTCTGGGTTTGGGGATAAAATCAGGGGGACTGCCCATCCAAGTGTGCTTGCTTGCCACTTTGTTCAGCTGCGTGCTGTTCTGCAGAAGTAAACTTTTCCTTGCCCAGCTGCTTCTGAGAGCCCATGTCTGATTCTTAACGGAACCTGGTATTTCTAACACATTTAACCAAGTGAGCAGAGAGGAGGTGGCCATCTGTGAGACAGGAAGCAGCCCGCCCAGGCAGGTGTCTATGGCACCTTCTCTTCAACTTCTCAGCTTCAGACTGTGAGGACAGTCTCCATTTAGGAGCCCTCCAGGGCCCTGGTTTCTGTTAGCACCTGAACCAACTGAGCTGTGCGTCTTTGTCTCCTCCTTTTATAAGGACATCAGTCATGGGATTAAGGATCAACTTGTTCATTATGACATCACCTTAGCTATTTACACCTGCAACTACCCTATTTCCTAATAAGGTTTTGGGGATAGGATTTGACTTGTAAGTTCAATTTATAACAGGTTGCAGAGATGAGTATTTATCATGTTATGATTATACTGGTCATATGATTAAATTATTATTTGAAAGGTATTTAATTTTGAGATGGGGGTCTTACTATATTGCCCAGGCTGAATTCATAATCCTCCTGCCTGAGCCTCCCAAGTAGCTGGGATTATCGGTACATACCATTATACCTGATTTGGTTATTGTTGTTTTTTTTAAACCAAAGATTGAACCAAGGGGTGCTCACTACTGAGCCACATCCCCAACTTTTTTGTGTTTTATTTAGAGACAGGATTTCCTGAGTTGCTAAGGGCCTTGCTAAGTTGCTGAGGCTGGCTTTGAACTTGCAGTCCTCCTGCCTCAGCCACCAGAGCCACTGGGATGACAGATGTGCACCACCATGCCTGGCTTACACCAGGCTGTTAAAAGAGAATTTTAAGATTAGTAACAGGAGCTGGGGTTTTCCCAGGAGGTAGAATGCTTGCTTGGCATGCACAAGTTCCTGTGATTCCCCAGCTCCACACACGTGAAAAGAAAAGAAATAAAAAGAAAAAAAAATAAATTACTGACAAATTCTTATAAATGAATAAAGATGTTGGATTTATTTTCTGGTATCAGCCTGTGTGTTTGCGAATGGTCACATGGTGGTTTTGTGTTTTTGCCCTGGTAATACAGTGAGTATGAACAAATGTCTAACAGGGAAAGATTGGCACAACCCTGGGATAAGCTGGGCCCCTTGGCATTCTGGGGTGTTGCTGGGTTGTGAGTGTCCAGAGAAAGCAATACTTCTGCTTTGAGGAAATAAGAAAATGTTTTATTCTGAGCCAAATATGAACAACCATTCTCTGTGAACTCAAGCTTAAGCTTTCCCAAAATACACATGTTCCCATTGAAGGCAATTACACACATTTACAGGTGGAGAGTATCGGGGATTGAATTCAGGGGCACTTGACCACTGAGCCACATCCCCAGCCCTATTTTGATTTTATTTAGACACAGGGTCTCAGTTTCTTAGCACCTCACCATTGTTGAGGCTGGCTTTGAACTCATGATCCTCCTGCCTCAGCCTCCAAATCCTCTGGGATTACAAGGATGAACCACAGAGCCTGCTACACATGCTTTTTTAGTCCCAGAAGGAAGGAGTGGGGCTCTCAGCTAGTCAGACTGCAAAGAGCTGGAGAAATCCACGATTCAGAGATGGCTTTCGTTAAGATGGGAGGAATCTTTTGCAGGATTTGGGTGTGTCCCATTTCTAGTTTTCAGTGGGAAAGGCCAGAGGTCTGCTGAGCTTAGCATACACTTATCCAGAGGTCACAAAAAATGGTAGGTCAGCAGAATGACAAAATCACCCAAAGGGACCAAAGATAGCCAGTAGGACCTTGGCTTCCAGATATATTCCAGCTCTCTACACGGTCTCCACGCTCCAGTGGGCACAATTCAACCTGGCTCCTCCCTTCTGTGCTAGTGCTCTTGGTGGAGGCAGCAGGCACGGTTCAATGTCCAGAACAAGATGGTTGAGTTCATGAACCTGTACATGCTGTGGAAATGCACCACCAGCAACAGCATGATTGGTGCCAAGGACCACTTGTCCATCCAGATGGACGTGGAGGAAGTGGACACGGTCACTGGCAGGTTTAATGGCCAACATAAAACCTACACTGTCTTGGGGGCCATTCACAGGATGGTCAAGTCAGATGACTCCATCCTCCAATGGGCCAAGGTGACAGCATTGTCTCAAAGAATTTTTGACTGGAGAGAATTGTGGATGTGGAATGCTTGTCATAAATTAATAGTGAAAAGCCAAAAAAAGGATCTGGGTAGTTGTAGCATCAAGTGGGGCAGCTGTATTCTGTGGCCAAGGCCAGCAAAAATGAAACTGGTGGTGGTGAAGGTGTGGAGGCCCTAGTGAGTGGGCGCTATGAGAAGGAAGGTGAGAAAGGCCACAAGATCTACCACCTAAAGAGCAGGGTACCCACATTTGTTCGAATGCTGGCCCCTGAATATACATGAACAAACATGGAATGCCTACCCATATTGCAGAACTGCTATTACAAATGAGTACATGAAAGAGGACTTTCTGATTAAAATTGAAACCTGGCACAAACCAGATCTTGGCACCCAGGAGAATGTGCATAAACTGTAGCCCGAGACATGGAAACACGTGGAGGCCATATATGTAGACATTGAAGAGCAAAGTCAAATACTTAGCAAGGATTACAGGGCAGAGGAAGACCCTGCAGCATTCAAGTCTGTCAAAACAGGCCGAGGACCCTTGGGCCCAAAGTGGAAGCAAGAACTTGTAAATCAGAAAGACTGCCCATATATGTGCGCACACACACTGGTCACTGTCACGTTCAAGTGGTTGGGCCTGCGGAACAAAGAGAAGCATTGTTCACAAACTTCCACAGGAAGCTGTTCTGTTGGCTCATAAGTGGGTGAACCTGACCATGGACGACATTC